AACACATGATTTGAATCTAGAATTGTTCTCATTGAAATTCTTGTTGCTAATTGTTTCCAATAAAGAGTACATCCACCATTTTATATTTCATCAAGTTTCAATTCCGGCCATGAACATGTAATATAAATTTTTAAACTAGTTGCTGATAAATTAGTCTAAAACGCATATTTTAAAAATATATATATATATAGAAAGAAATAAGCTACAAATGTAAATCATAAAATTGACCAAACACCCATCAAAGTCGATAACATTGGCATCTTAACATTCTTATATCATTCATTGGTAGCAAACAGACAAGTGAAGTAAAGTTATTGTGGTTATTTAATTGAAATTTTTACAACTGATGTATTAATCATTAGGTTGATAATTACCAATAATATTATTTTAAGATTCAAAATATATAAATATTATTCAAAAACGTGTTTGTAGGTACTTTCTTAAAAGATATTTATAAAAGTGATTATAATAATAAAAATATAAAAATTGAAATTTTTTGGTAATTTTTTTTTAAAATACAATAAATCTAAATGTAGAGTATTTTCTCAAAAGGCATTTTCCTCATATAGTTTGATTTTCTCAACCACTAAACTTGTGACATTTCTGATAGGTAGGATAAAGTTTTGGACGCAATTCATTAGTCGTAATAAATATGTTAGCCGTTAAAATCGTGAATTACTGTAATTGTCACCTGTGACAACAATCTTTTAATATATGCGGATAGTTTCCTTCAATATATCATTTGAAAACCTTTAAGGCAATAAATAAATAAATAAATAAAAATAAAAAGTCGAGCAACCATCACAAACAAATACATAGTTAGAAAATGATTTGAACAAACCAAACATTTTATAAGACAAGAAAATCATAAAAGAATGAATAAACAAAGCAAATTCCAAATTTCCAACATTCTTTTGGCTTGCATGCGAAACATGGAGATGGCCTCCTAAATAAAAATATAATGAATAGATAGACAATTGTTTACCATCATAGTGGAATGATAATCACATAACATGAATGTTAATAAAAAACCATTTCTTCTTCTTCTTCTTCTTCTTCTTCTTCTTTTTTTATTTATTTATTTATTTTTTTTTGTCAACCATCCATTTAGAAGTTCTTCTGGTATACTGAATGTAAATTTGGGCTTGCATCCTAGCCTTGGCCCGCATGCTTGTTGGGTTGGCCTATAAAACAAGTGATATTATAGCTTTGTTTGTTTTAGCGTAAAATATTTTTTGAAAAATAATTTTTGGATTTGATTTTCATAAAATATTTAATGAAAAAAAATTAAAATTTAACAAAAGTAACTTATTCATCAATTTTCGGCAAAATATTTTACACTCTCCACTTGATGGACTCGACCTCAACCTCGACATCTTTGTCAAACACCAAAAAATAATAAATAAAAACATTTTTCATAAAAAAATATATTTATTTTTTTAAAAAAATATTTTACATTGAAACAAACTGAACCTAAGCATATATTTGAATATGTTGTTAGTCCTAAGTACTTGATTTATGGACAAAAAGGAAAATTAGTTGGGCTAGTTTGCATTCAAAGCTTGTATGGTCGTTATTTATTTATTTTCCTTATTCTTTCTATTATTATTTAAAAATAAATAAAACTGTTGTCATCATTTATGCAATTTCCATATATTTCGAATTGACAACAGGGTACAGCCACACAACAATATATGAATCAAACTAATTGCCTGAACGTGATCTACAAAGTGCAAGTTGTGCACACATTGCGACCTCTTTGTCTACTTTAATTAAACATTTTTTATTTTTTATTTTTGCATCTCCATCCTCTATATTCATGTCTCTGCATAACTGTCCCAGTTTGCTCAATCCATTACTTTAACCACATAATTTGAAGTGTCAATCCTTCTATCCCCAGATTTGCTAGCCAAATACCACTCTTCCTCTCGCAAAAGTATATGAACATCCCAAATTTAGAAAGAAATAAATAAATAACCAAAATAAGAAATAGTTTTAGTATGTTTTTAGATAGATGAGGTTTTTTTTTTTTTTTTTTTTTTTTATTTATTTTTTTTATTTTTAAATTACTCGCAATCACACGAGTCTGTTGAAGCACAGACATGCAAGAACGAGATTGAACCAAAGGAATGCTTTGCTAAAAAACCTAATGTCAATATAAATTAATTTAAAATTGTTCGCGCGATTTTACGTCGGTCGATGGACTCTTTGCGGGCGTGCCAGAGTATTTGTACAAAACACTCAAAATTGTAAATTCGAACACCAGCCTATCCTTTTTTTCGAACTCTCAGGCGAATGTGTGGGAGAGAGACTAGTAAGAACTCCCAGTAAGGTTCTTTTATGCCTTGTTTGTAACAAGGACTTTTTATCTAATGTGTTAAAAGAAGTAAAAAATGCGATGAAAAGTAAAGTAATTTAAATGAACAGGCTGAATTTAAATTGACTTTGAAATAAAGATGGCTGAAATGAAATGGACTGAAAAGAATAGGCCGAATTAAAATGACATGAATCTGATCAAAGATTTGTCATTGAATCCGTTGCATAAAACAAAGATTAATTTGTAAATAGCATAATTAAGCATTGCAAAAGAAGAATAAGTTACTCGAACTTAGTTTCTTCGAATGAAATTTGCCATTTGGACAAATGAATTGAAGATAAAGATGACGTTGAGTCATTTGATGAATTTTTGATTCATGCTGATTTGTGGGTGGTGTTGGACAAATTGGAATAGTCTATAATACTTCTATTTATAGAAGTTCTAAATCAGCCAATTTCTAATTATTTCTTGCTAAAATATCTCTGCGCCCTTGATTCTTTCTCTTCGTAATTTGAACTGAGTCAATTCCCATTGTTATTATGCTTCTCTTTTTGTTTTGCTCCAGTAGAGAATCTCTGCTAAATCAACCTTTCTTGATTTAATCACATGTAAGTTGCCGAGGTATCGCCAAAACGTTGCTAGAAAGTTGCTGGAAAGTTGCTGATTTTTAGCAACTTCTTTCTTTAAGGTTGGCTGAAATACTTCCCTTAAACGGCTTAATAACCACTTATAGCCTTGACCCATATACTCACGTGGCTGCCTCCTCCTTTTAGAATTCCTATTTCATAGGGATTTAATTTTCTTCTTCAACTAATTCCTACCTCATAGAGATTTAGTTATTTGTTGTAACTAAATCTCTAAGTCTTTCCTTTTCAAATAACATATTTGAATTAATTCAAATATTAATTACCAAGATTTCAGCAACAACCTTATTGGGTGAGGTCACTGAATTCTTAAATTTTCTCCTTTTGTCTCTCTATTGGCTGACTTCCCTTAGAATCCTATTGCACACTTGTCAGCTCCTCACTGGTCCACGTCACTGCTGAAGTGGCTGCCAAGTTTTGGTGCCAACAAAAACCAATCTAGTTAACAAGGTCTGTTGATTGAAAAAGGAATTTAAACTAAACAACTAACAAAGAAAAATACATAACTAAGGTATCGGAGTCCATCATCATTAAATTTATAATCTTCTAATTATTCATTTACTAATTCTCAAATTTAGAGTACCAAACTAGAAACCAATCTAATGTTTTCTTAAGATTTAGCAATAAGGGACTTGTGAAATATTCAAAGATAGATTCTTCTTCGCTTAAAGAAGTAAATTTGTAAGCATCTTATGTATCCGATTCATGAAAGGCATAATAACATCAAAGAAGTAATTCTAAGTGTCATATGTATCCAACTCAATGAAAAACATTAAATCAAATAAACTTACTATCAAAAGTTACAAAATTAAGCATTGATCAATTGACTATAGAATTACTCTAACTACCGCGAAAACATGATATTAATAGTGAAAATTCAATTGGACCTCACTAAGCTTTTTGTCAGTGCAAGAATGATTTGGAATTTTTATGGTCTTAGAGATGGTTTCTAGAAGAAGTCAGAGTTGTTGAATGTGAAAAGATGGAGAACACTAAGAACCAAAGTTCAATGATCAGATGAGCAAAAAGGGTAAAACACAATACAGTGGTGCACTTAAACATGTTATTGGAGAGCTGACTTAATGAAAACTATGAAGACTCCAAAGAGTCCACTGGTAAGGTCTTAGTTGCCACAAGACAAAATTTGGCAAACACTTCATCAAAATTATTATCTTTTAATTGACTAAAACTTTACTAGTCTCTTGATTTGGTGGTGAAAGTTGAAACAACTAATTAAATTGTAATATGATGTTTCCATTAGCAGAACATCAACCATGGAAAGATGAGCTGATCTACTCTGCAACTGTAACACCCCTTTAGTTGTTCTTTTTCTCCCTCTTTTGTTTGATAGATGTATTAGAACTGTACATTGTATTTAATTGCATTGATGAACAATTTAAAAGGTCCTATTTATAGGCGAGGGTTTTGAGTTGGTGAGTGCTACACACAAGTAATCTATGTAAGACAACTTGGTAGGTGAGTGGTATAAAAGGTGGTAAATCAACCAGTTGCTCCCATATATTAGTCATTCCTAGAATTAGGGGGGTAGCCGATGGCCAATCGGCAACAAGGTTGGCCCGATTGCAATCAGCCATATGGTTGGCTAGAATAGCAGCCGCAGCCAACCATTCAGAATTTCCAACAGCCACCTATAATGTATCACCCATTTATTAAACAACCATAGCCATAGATTACACTAGAAAACCCTCCCAGAGAAGAACCTCCAAACCCGAGGGCAGCGATGTTGGATTGGGACATCTAAGTCTATTAATTGCTCTTATACCACTACCTCCAAAACATAGTGGGGCAGCCGATAACCAATACTAAAATCGGCAAGCCTTGCAGATATCAACAAAAGAGTTTAGCAAAATATCAGCCGCAAGTAGCTAATGAACTCAATTAGCCGCGAAGTTGGTAAGAGTAGCAGTCACTATCAACAAAAAATAAGCAATATATTGAAATCGGCCGGCATTATCGATATGGCAGGAAATTTACGAAAAATCAGCTGCCAGGAGAATGTTAGCCACAATCTCCAGTACTTAGGGGCAGCCGTTGGCCGATCAGCATCAACCATTAGCCGTAAATCAGCTACTAGTGGTGGATCAAGCACAATCAATTGACCAGCCAAGCTAGTCGATTTTGGTGGACAGAGCCATAGGTGGAAATAAGTCATATACCGTATCGACTGAAAAGAGAGATGCTAATAATAAGTAAAGTACAATCGATGACGACACTATAAAGTTTTCTAAAATTCAGCTGAAAGTTAAAACAAACAGAAGTGTGATCAGCCTAGTTTTTTAAAAAAAGGTTGATCTTGGTAATGAATAGAAGCACATGTATGTCGTCAGCCAGTCAAGGGGAGAAGTTAGAACAGCTGAGAGAAGCCCAACTTGCTCTCATTCAACATGTTTGCTGCCCTGAATGGAAGGGTAATCAGCTGAAGGTAAATCAACAGAGAGAAAATCGGCTAAAAGCAAGTTGGCCAGTGTACCAGAATTCTTCGCCGATTGTGATGTCTAATAACTTTCCAGAACAATCATTGGCTAAAAGAATTATTTTATCTCATCGTACTTGACCTAATTTCAAGAAAAGAAAACAGAGATAGCAATGGAAAGAGGTTAGGGTGAAGATAAGATCATAAAAGAAAATAAATTGGCTGAAGGTGAATCAGCAAAGAGGAAATCGAATATCCAATGCAAAATTTTATCTGGCCAATGCAGCATTATATGGCAATAATCATGTGCTGATAAGATTCATCGGCACAGATATAGTGGTTCTGCCGATATCGGTTGCCATAAAAGGAAACTTGGATGGTGTTGAAGAGTTACTTAGATAAGTATTTTGGTTGAGAATGGAACCTACTCAGCTAGTCGCTGAGGAAACACCTTTTAATTTCTTTAAGGCCAATTGGGTAAAGATGGAATCGACTGAAGGTGAATCAGTAGAAGGAAAATCGGCCATCAAATAAATTTTGTTCTTTTCAACGGATTTGGTCGAAATTATTGAGGAGCACGAAAATTAAAAATAATCAGCTGAGAAAACTCCCCATTGGCACGACTTCATTCTTCTGGGAGAGATAATAGTCAGATCTACTAATATAATACTTAACAATAACTTAATTCCAGCAGATTTTAATTATGCTTTGTCAGTAGGGTTGGAAAACATAGGGGGCAAGTCCTTTATGGGTTCTTATGGGCAGTCGATATTGACCAACTTTATGAGAAGTTAGGATGGAGTCCGGATCGGCAGATTTGGCTGATATGAAATAAAAATCATTTTAGAGGTGATTCAGAATAAATGAAGCTTTGGAACTCATTAATTTGTCATATTATTCCAACCGATTAGCCTAGCCATGGTTCAAAAATTCCTTCCAGTATACTTTAAATTTCAAATATCTTATTACCTTGGGCGGCCGACTGTCGATAAGACATTTAAAATTGGGGGCATTGTTGACACCCATTTTGGCAAAATTACATGGCAGTGACGTGGTGAGTAATTGGTTGGCCATGTGAGGCAATTTTGTGATAATGTGGCAACTACCTAAGTGATGATATGATAGGGTAGTTGTATTATGCTTAAATTGTATGTTGGGTTATGAATGGATAATTAAAATTGTTAAAGGAGATAATTAAGGAGTTATTATGTGAAGAGATAAGAGTTTTGGATCAAGTATAAGTGTTATTATCCTTATTTTGTAGGAGATAAAGGAGGATATATCTCATCTTACTTTTCAACTAACCTGAATTTGTGGAGAAGAAAGCTTATACATGGACTGACTTTTGTGAAAAATATGATTAACTCCTTTAATGACTTAGATTTGATTATTAGGTCAACTTGCTCAATTTACGATTGATTAAATTATACGATTACTTTAAATATCCACAATCATAAATATAAATACTTAAAAGTAAAGCAAATTAAGTTTAGAGAGATTGCACCAGGATTTTTAGCAAGGAAACCTCAATTGATAAAATACGTCAACTGTTTGCATGGGAAAAACCTCATGAACTATTCAGTCCAAAGTAAACCGATCCACTACATTTGAAACAAAGTATACCGAATTTTGACTTTGGCTCACACCCTATCGTTCTACCAAACACCAATTGCTGACAATCCTCTAGCTTTGCAACTCCCCGTTCAACAGCAACTTGACCTCAAGCTTATGCTTGATATTTGTAGAAGAGTAGTAGGTAGATTAGACAACACTCCTCGAATGCTCCAACCCTTTCAAAGTGTGATCACTTTTACTTCTGTTCTTAAAGATCTGAACTCGATGTAGAAGAATTAAATCCTGCACTTCATTCGGAATCTCTGAATCTTCAATGAATATATGTGTATGCTTTTATAAATAAATTCAGAACAATCAGATTTGATTTTCTGAATTTTCTCTCTCTAAAAGGCTTTCTCAAAATATAGAATTGATTTTCCCTAAAGCCGTGAATAAACCTAGAACTATGACAAGGTTTATATAGAGTTCAAAAAGTCCTAATCCCTCTGAAAATATGAAAAATTTAGTGCATAGGACTTAGAAAGAAGTTGGCATAAAAAAGGAAACATTTAGAAGAAGGAAACTGAAAGTTGGAATGTTACCAGAACTTCTTGAACCAGTTCAGCCCCTTTGAACCGGTTCAAGATGACCAACAAAGAATCCCTCAGATTCTTGAACCAATTCAGCCCCATTGAACCGATTCAAGATGGTCAGTCTTAAAGGTCTACTGATGTTGAACCAGTTCAGCCCCGTTGAACCAGTTCAAGATGGACAGAATGTAAATTCTTCCTTAAAAGCTTCCAAAACCTTTTATAAATGTTCTCACTACCTCTCAAAACTTCTTAAAGTATTGTTCTCATCATCTCGGAGTGTAGTATATCATGAACACTTGAACTTCTTTAAATCCGCATTCGATCTTCAATTTTTAAAATTTTGAACTGAAAAATTACAACGCGATCGGACTTGTTTTGACAACAAAATTAGCCAATTACAAAATATATATCACACAATCTCCCCTTTTAGAAATTTCGTGACAAAACCCTAAAAACAATTCAGCAATCTACCCAAGCAGGAAAGTAAATTACAATGATTGTTAAAGGAAATAAAACAGCGAAAATTTTCTTAAACCTCATGAAGCTTCACCACATGTAGTAACCTATAATCTGTACATTAGCTTAAACACAACTACCCATGAAGCTTAATCAAGAAAATAAACCCAAACATAAAATAGCAAAGCTAATAATGCCTGAATATCAATGTAATGTAATGCAATGAACAATGATTCTCTCCCTTTAAACAAAAATTTTCTCCCCCTTAATGCAAAAGTATCTCCCCTATTTTTGTCACAAATTAATAAGGGTCTCAAGGAAGAAATATCCTAGAAGTAGGAAGCAACTAACTATATAAATCTTGTAAATTGAAACCAATGAGAATGTAGACTCCATAAGATTATATATATCAACAGAAATAACCAAGATCAATTCTTTTAAGTTCCACAAACTTAGTAAGTGTAGTAAAATCACCACTAAGTTCCAAAACATATGATTTGTTAATTGTTCAGATTTCAGATAATAAATCAATGATATCATATATCCTTATAAATCAAATAATCAACATGTGCAAAAGACAATTTTTTTTTTCTCTTTGTACTCCATTTTTCTTTTTGCATATTGGCAGCTTTCACTCTTATGGGCAGCCTGCTCTTTCCCTTATTCCCATTTGTTTCAAGTCCAGGTAGCTTTCGGATAAATCCCAAAGATAGCCTTTTCCATCTCACCAAATTTTTTTTTTTTTTTTTTTTTTTTTTTTTTTTTTTTTTCAAAACAGCAAATATGTTTCATTCTTTTTCAAAAACTTTTCATTCCAAGCTGTTGTGATACCCCTCGAATCCGAGACACGGGTTGATCAGGCCCACGCCCAAACCTGAGGAAAATATCAAACAATTAAAGTATTTTAAAGCGAACACAGAATAGAAATTTAAGAATTTAAATAAAGAAACCAAAAGAATTATAAAATCCTCCAAACTAAAAATATTAATAATTCAATCCTTCCAAAACCTCCAAGGTTACAACTTGGGAATCCAACTAGTGGACCCCTAAATAAAATCCCAACTGAACTAAAAACTGGAAATAAAATAAGCTAGAATCATCGAGAGAAATCCTACGTAAACAGATGAATGTGAGACTGTCCTCGACAAGCACGATCAAGTTCCAAGGCTGGAACCGTCCTGCACCTGAAAAGAATAATGAAGAGTGGGTCAGACCCATGAGTAAGTTCTAATCTAACTGCAATCCATACAGTGACCCGATACGCAGATACACCGTAGATACCTCACAATATTTATCTAGTTCATACATATATATATATATCCACACTAAGGACATTCACTGGACTACAGTAGAGGTCTCAACCTGAATAGAAGGTAACATGCGAATACGCACCTAAGGGTGGGCATGAGTACCTAGACCTAACAAAGTACACCTTACACTACTATAGCCAGTTACGCATCCACTGCATATACGCACCCAACCAACAGTCTGAGACTCAAGCTCATCTCGTGGTACCATAAACATATATATAAAGTCCGTCCTAAATTAGGGTATGTCGTTCAAATATTTATTGAGTTGACATAGAGAGAAGCTATTCAAATCTATATATATATATATATATAAAGAATTACACCAAATAGGATTTAGTTTAAAAAACAAGGATTATAGACCTTGATTACAGGAAAAAAAAAAAAAAAAAAAAAAATAGAATTGCAGACCTTCATCATAAAATTGAATTATAGAAAAAAAAAAAAATTAAAACAAAATCCATACATACATGAGGGGATATGGTGCCATGGAGTTCAAAAATCAAATAATAAAGTAAAGAAAAAATTTGAGATACTGATGTAATATATATTATATATACACAGACACATAAATATAGAGAGATAGAGGACCTGGATGGTGTTGTTGGAACCAATATAGTACTGATCAATAGTCTTCAACCATCCAACATCATCATGCGTGTGAGGAACCAAATGAACATTGAGTTTCCCGGGAACAATGCCTGGTTTTGATCTAGTGTCTGGTTTTGATCAATCGATATGCATTTTGAACTTCTGATTCTTGTTGATTTTGTAGTTTGCAATTGCAGAGAGAGAGGGGGCAATTTCAGAGTTAAGAATGAGAATGGAG